GGTTAATTTTCGTAAGGGAACATAATGTTATGAACGTACCTAAACGTGATGCACGGGCTTCGTCTTGGGTTTTTTGTTTTTTTCTTATCTCGGCGCCGGACAACTGATGTCTTTTCCCGGGCATAGTTGCCCATCAGTTATGATCATTTGCAGTCAGCCGCAAACATGAGGTGAGAGCGTGAGCGGGCGCGGAGGCGGGAATGGCGCGTCACGTGTGCTTCGCCTGTCTACTTCGTTCACCGTAAAACGCATTTTTTATAATTATCTTAATAACTTATTACCTTAAAATCTCAGAGGGGGACTTCAAATAAATATTCTAAGTGAAAGAGATTCGGCTGATAAAAAAAAAAAGTTTGGAATCACTGCATTACATGTAAATAAGAAATAACGTGAATTTTTGCATTTTAATGTGTTTAAAAAAAGAAAAAAGCCTTCCAAAGACAGTAATGAGTGATAATTCAAATAAATATTAATGTGTTCATCAGTAGTTGTTGCAATGTTGAAATGTTGAGAAAACACTTATTCAAATTAAAACGATTTTTGTAAATCCAGTGGTCAAATGCTGTGTGGCGTCTGTGAGGCCTCCAGACGAGTGACTGGTCCTTGTGTGAATGTCCACAAAACAGACTTTCTGAATGTATAGAAGCTATTTTATATAGGCTATTTTTAGAAAGGAACATTTAAAAGATGAAAAGGGGAATTAGAGAGAATCAATAAATTATGAATGATTTATTGCTATTGTGTGAATATGTAATCATGTAATCAATAACTCATTGGCTGATGCATTAACATCCTTCACAAACTTATATTTAAATGTTATTTATACGTCAAAGTATATATGGCCTCCTTAAATAATTTTACATTTTGTGCTGTGATAACCATCGATTTAACCGTTTATTTCACTGAACTCATTGGCTGATGCATTAACATCCTTCACATGCTAAACTTATATTTAAATGTTATTTATAAGTAAGAGTATATAGTTCTTATGTTGTTTTGAAGAAACACACCTGCCAAAAGCATAAATAAACATTAGATATTTGCTAAGGCAAGAGTGATGTGTGAAGTTTACCATTTGACTTCCTGTAGGCCTGAAGTGTTCATGTTCTCAAAGATGCTTTGATCAACAGATATGTTTCTCATGTGTGTCATGATGAGAAGTTGTCACACAGGTGCAGCTGTCAAAAGATCTTTATCTTAGCTGCTATTTGAGGTTTTCAATCAGATATCCAGTTATACAAATGCTTGTTTTTTCCTAGCAGTTTTGCTTTTAGTCGTTTTAAAACTACAATTTAGGCTATATATATATATATATATATATATATATATATATATATATAAAACTTCAGATTGGCATGTCACCATATTCTAATTTGTTGAGATAGTGAATTGGTGGGTTTTTGTTAAATGTGAGCCAAAATCATCACAATTAAAAGAACCAAAGACTTAAACTACTTCAGTCTGTGTGCATTGAATTTATTTAATACACGAGTTTCACAATTTGAGTTGAATTACTGAAATAAATTAACTTTTCCACGACATTCTAATTTATTGAGATGCACCTGTATATGATAAAGTAGATTTTAAGTGAAAATTTAAACTGTTCTTAGGACACAAAGTGTTCCATGTGTTGAACATTTTGATTTACCAAAAAAAAAAAAAACAAATGAAGAAATTAAGCAAATCTTATTACGTAATCCAGTTTACATCTAATCAGTTATTACCCAGCTCTGTGTATATATTATATATATATATAATATATGTGACCCTGGAGCACAAAACCAGTCTTAAGTCGCTGGGGTATATTTGTAGCAATAGCCAAAAATACATTATATGGGTCAAAATTATCGATTTTTCTTTTATGCCAAAAATCATTAGGATATTAAGTAAAGATCATGTTTCATGAAGATATTTTGTAAATTTCCTACTGTAAATATATCAAAACTTAATTTTTGATTAGTTATATGCATTGCTAAGTACTTCATTTGGACAATTTAAAGGCGATTTTCTCAATATTTTGCACCCTCAGATTTCACATTTTCAAATAGTTGTATCTCAGCCAAATATTGTCCTATCCTAACAAACCATACATCAATGGAAAGCTTATTTGTTCAGCTTTCAGATGATGTATAAAACTCAATAAAAAAATAAAAAATTACCCTTATGACTGGTTTTGTGGTCCAGGGTCACATATATGATAAAGATGGCCTCCTTAAATAATTTTACATTTTGTGCTGTGATAACCATCAATGTAACCGTTTATTTCACTTAACTCGTTGGCTGATGCATCCACATCCTTCACATGCTAAACCTATAAATGTTATTTATACGTAAAAGTATATAGTTCTTATGTTGTTTTGAAGAAACACACCTGCCAAAAGCATAAATAAACAGCCTATATAAAATTCATGAATAGCTCCTGACATAAATTCCGCACTGCTTCAAGAACTCAGAAATAATTTCCTTCATCTCATCAAATTTCTATCACAGGTAACGCCACTGAAGAGCAAGAAAGTGAGAGAGAGGTTTGTCCGCCTAAATGGTCTAAAGTTCTTCTGATTGTTTTTGCTGTCAGTCTGGTTTTTGCTCTTTGAGGTCTCTGTATTCTGGGGATACTGTGCGAGTATAACGCAAATAGATTATATAATATATGGTGTGCCATCACTGCTTCTGCTTATGTTCTGTTTTTAATCAGCTGTCAGAGTTTCAGTGCAACTGCAAAAGTGAGTAAAATATATTTCATGATCCAGTACAGAGTGACTTTGTTTTTTTTAGATTTAAAACCATGGTCTGAAGAATAGATCATTGGATCATTTCATCTTGATTGCATTTCGTTTCTTCTTTTTTTGGCCTTGTCATGCAGATTACAAAGAAGAGTTTGATGTGCTCCGCAACCAGCATAAGAAGACACTTGAAAAGCTGAGCAGATTAAACCGTAAGTTTTATGATCTGAGCCTTGTGCAATGTTAAAAGACCTTTCACACACATAAGCAAAATCTCAAAAATAAAGACGTAGTGTGAAATTATGAATAATTAAATCATCACTACCTCTTTTACAAAAGACAGTACAGGTTGTGCACTTTGTGCCATCCACTGGATTCATTCTGGAGGAAAGTGTTACTACTACTCTACAGTCAAGATGAACTGGACACAGAGTCGAGATCACTGTGTGACTCTAGGAGGACATCTAGTGATCATAAACAGCAAAGCAGAGCAGGTGTGTTTACTAGTTAAACACTTGATAAGGCCTTCTGAGATCAGATTTCATATTCTACAGTTGAATTTTGCTCACATTGAAACAAATCAAAATTATATATTTTCTCTATATGTGACCCTAGAGCACAAAAAAAAAAAATAAGGGTAAATTTTTCAGAAATTGAGATTTATACATCATCTGAAAGCTGAATAAATAAGCTTTCCATTGAT